TGATTACATAGGTAATGTCATGCCTGGATTTTGTTCAACTCTATATCTTGATTTGTGAAACAAAAGTGCTAAACTGAACACAAACATACACTATATATATATATATATATATATATATATATTGAATACTGTTCCAGGTCTGCCAAACATCCAACTGGGTACTGACAGACCTCAGCGATGGTGGTCCGGGGGTAACGTCACCAAATTATCACCCCGGAAGACGGGTGTTTGAATTCTAACATCAGTGCCTGACTTTCCCCATTTGCATGTTACATGGCAGCCCTTTGATTGTCCGCTTCCCTCTTCCTGAAAATCGTATCACTGTGTATTCAATAGAAGGAAGTAAAAATGAAATTTTAAAAAAAACAAGAAATCACATCTTTCTACTATATGTTATTTTATGACTAAAAACAGTGATTATTATCATACCTAAGCACTGAGAATGAATATCACCCTTCGCTCTTGAACTCTTGAATTCAAGAGGCAAGGTGTTGTGCTCAGTTCGAATACGGTAGAATCGCCCACTACGGTAGCCGGGTCCGATTAACTACACTAACGAGTGATGTGAATCTCACTTAATTATTACCCCGCACACTTGAGACCACGTAAATGTCCAACGAACAAGGTTCCTTTTTACCTTCTGCGGTACAACGCATGGAAAGTGGATTTACTGATTTTTCCTAGTTGCCTTTCAACGCATTTAATCATCGGATTTCGTTTTAAAAGGGATTTGCGGTCCTCTATCCCGAGATTGAAACCACTGAGGATCCCACATGATGAATTTCGTCCGGTACAGATCAACTGAAGCGTAAGTCAAAAAGCTAGGAAGCACTGGACAGTCATCCCGATCTGACTGGGTCTCATCAGCAGTACAAATCTATAGACCCGGCTGGAAACCGGGACAGCGGAAGTAGAATGGAAGTATACTATACCCACTCGGCCACTGGGTAGCTGATCAGGCCGCCTTTTATTTTCCTCATACGCGGTATAGCACAACCCACCTTTGCGAGCTTAAAACGGGCGTCTCAGCACTAGTTTCCAGGGTTATGACTTCGTTGGGAATATTCCAACACTGAAGAGTCATTCGGATTTCGAAAAGCTGATTCAATTAGCAGTGCAGTGTCTTCTCGACGAATTGTGCAATTTGTTGTACATTACACCAGGGTCAATGAACGGTTTTGGGATGAGGAAAACGGTCGACAGCACACGTATATGTAACTGAAGTGAACAGCTTAATTCTTTAAGGTAAACGAAGTCAAACAATGATTAGCGAATCGGATTATACGCGNTACGCGAGGGGAGGGGAGGGGCAACAACATTAAACGGATCAACATGAAATGCTAATGAGGGGATTGGACCATCAGGTAACCTACCCAAAAAGTACGGTCCTTTAATGGCATCATTGATCTCCTGACAACCCTCACGGAAAAGATTTGCATCTTGTTCGGTAAAATCGGCAGTATACAAAATACGATAGTACGACGCGACTAACTGAAAATATCGAGAGAAAAAAAGATGAATGACAACACCAGTTGATCACAACGGGAGCAGACAGAGCGTGAATAGTTCATGATCAGTCAACAGGTCAGGATAAAACGGTTAACCTTGTCTAAGAAGCTCATTCGGTGGACTCCGATGAACTCTAAGGAAAACATGTCGGGGCAGTCAGCTTACATGCTGACCGGTAGATGTCATATGCCGCTGCAAGTTGGATGGGTAAATCCGAATGTGAAAGGATCAGTGTGGCCTCGTAGCTCAGCTGGTCGAGCGTGCGCTGTACAAAAAGCGTAAGCGGCGTCCATGCGTGGGTTCGAATCCCACCGAGGCTACTGAACTTTTCCCAATCGACATAGAAACTTCCAATTGGCCAAACAACAATTTAAGACAGAATGATCACTGACTTTTAATTGTGATTATTATATCTCGCACTTCAAAGTCCAGGATAAGAGAGTAGGAATTCTCGATTGCTTGGGACGCTACAGTGTCCCGTCGTAGATAAGATCTTCGATAAACACGGAGTCCGGATGAAAACTTTGTCCCTCTCCTTGATTGGGGATTCTAGGAATCATACTTAGTACACAAATGCACTTAGTTCTGTGTTCAGTTTGTGTAAGCAATAAACTTGCGATTCCGCGTGCTAGTCTGGTTTTCGGCTCTCCACCTGGTCAAGCGGCTTTGATGGCTGTAAATGATGTGTTTTGGACTCTGGTGTTCAATATGCCAACTGTCTCTCCACGACCCAAATTTCGTCATTGGCAGCCTCGCTGTGGTCCGGTCCAGTAGTAGACCTGTCCCACTGAGGTCTTATTTGGCTCACCATCCCAAGTAGCAGGGTTCGGGTTGCGAGTTATCGTATGTGAACAACAGATCTTGCGGATTATCCGGTTTAATCCGTCTATTTATTTATCACTTAAAGGTGTGACCGAAAAATGTGAAAACAAGATAAGCCAAACATTTCTCTGGGGGGGGGGCATGACGATTTCTCGGAGTCCGTGTACGAAATTAAAAACCATACATGCAGGATGCCTGACTCGCACCAATTAAGGGGTCAGAGCACTGTCGCATTAGCTCACACGACTGTCGGGTAGGAGGAACGTCTATCAGACCGAGATGCCTTAGTTCAACCACATACGAAATTCACATTACAAAAAGAGCACACGTATCTCGTTAAACGGTAGCTGGCTTACTTTTGATGCCAACGTTTCGGCTCGTTTGAATTCCGCTTCTCCCCATCGGGCGAGCAGCGACTCCGGTCCTTTAGATTCGTCCAGATAGCGCATAATCACATCAGACTCCGCGATGGTTTTACCTTCTTTAGTGATTAATAGTGGCACTTTTCCGACTGGATACATTTCCAAAAACCACTTTGGTTTTGAGTGAAGAGATATCCATATCGGATTATAGCTGTTCGAATGTAATGAGAACGGCAAGCAAACGGCAACANAGGTTTTAATTCAGGTTAGAACTAGCAGTCAAACTGTGTGAGAAAGGGGTCAATCTGTGCCTGGAGCGATGGTTTGTTATGCAGCTATTTACGGTTTAATGATATTTATATATAGTTACAGGATAATCTACGTCAGCGGCCCACTTAGTAGGCTGTTCAGTTAACACGTTTATGTATCGACTGCACAAAAATAAAAATGTAATGTGTAAACCAAAGGGGATTATAGTTGAGAAAATATTTGTTTCCCTGACTGTAAACTTACGGAATTTTATGGTAGGCAAGAACCAATCGGACACGCTCCACGAAAGGACAGAATCGATACCCGAATAGACTATACTCATTGGGTTTAATGACCGGTTTTGGATCACCTACAGTTGACCGCGTTGCATTGCGTTGCGCGAAAATGGGGTAAGGCAGATTAGGTGAAAGACTGGAATGGGTCATGCATTGGTAGTAAGTATATACATATGTATGCGAACATAACTACGGAAAGAGAGGGCAACAAAGTAAAACGCCAACTCAGAATGACAGGTTTGAAGCAAAAGACTTACCATGCGCGTCACAGCACTCTACTGAAGGGTTTTCTCTAAAACAGCGCACAAGTGTTGATCACAATGCAAGACGAAAAATCAGTAATTTTTCATTAAACACCGGCAAATGCCGAGCACGGAAAGGTGATTTCCAATAAGGCCGCGGAAGATATTATTTAACTTGATCAAGGGGAGAAAAAGAGTAATTAAAGAGCACACTTTGACGGAACGGACAAGATCGACAAAGTATTGTCATATTTGACCCTTACGTAACGAAGAGACTTAAACGCTTCTTAGCGTGGTGAAAAAGACGACCAGCTCATCACTCAGGTGTGAGTTCCTCCCGCGTCAATTATACTTGCATCTCGAGAACCGTCCAAAACACGAACACCACTGTCTCACTTAGAACTCGATCAAATAGCGATCCACAGCTGATGCCGTACATGAAAGGCCGCAGCTGGACCAGATATCGATCTCTTGTGTCTCTTGTTGAAACTATTCAAATAATGAGGATAAGTGTACACGTAATAGTTGAAGGAAGACCGACAGCAGCCTGGCCTGATATGAAGCAACAAGAACCTTGACCAGTAGATTTGGTAGTGCAGGTTATTTCAGGCTTTTCACTCAGTATCTCGCAATCAGCCCCGAGAAAATATAAAATGTTACGTGATGTGACTGAATATTGTGTAATGATGGCATTCTCACATTAATTCAATTTCTACGCACATCTATTTTAGTTGCAACTCGTATTTCTATTTCGTTACTGCTCTCAGCTCTTGGTTTTCATTGCGTTTTTCTTCGATTGCAGAACGTTAACAACTAAAACTGGCGCAAGAAAGTTATTGGCGGTACAAAGAATTTGCAATTTTTTCCTGGTCACCATTATATGCAATTGCTTTGTTGAATTCATAGAGTAATTTCGGCGATGCTAATCACAAGGTGTGTAGGATCTTCTTTCACTTTGTGTCACGCTGCGAGATATAATAAGATGGTTTTCCATACAAAAATGAAGCAACCATACGAGTAAAAATGATGATGGGCTTACGGCTTACCGTCTTTCAGATGCATAGTTTGTTGGGTCCAATCGGTTGTCTTTTCTCAGGAGAATTTACAAATCTGTAATATTGGATAAACGTATCGGGTGTTGTAGATCAAATACTCAAGGGTATCGAGAAAGGATCTAGATATTTGGTTCAATGATCCAAAAGTAGCTGAGCGCGACCAGGTGAATTTTGTGACGATACGACAAAGACACTCAATGAGAAAATATTCATCAAAGTCCGGATCGAGATTTAAATAGATTAAAACGGGTTTATTACACAAAACGACTTCCAAAGGGCAGACACGTTATAACGGTGGCATAGATGGAGTACCTAACACCATAGGTTCCAGAGAATACTCCAAAAGCGAAATGCAACAGGTTGGTGGTGGTAAGAACATAGTTGTTGCACTGGTTAACTGATACTTGGAAAACAAAACGTTAAATTCTGTAAACTGAAAACGATAGTTCAGCGGTAAATACCTTCAACGTCGGTCGCTACTCATACGATTATTAACACTTTTCGAAATGATCTAGAGGAGTTGCATTCACTACCTCTGAGAGAGTAGAGTGAACCATTGGAGTGAGGTTGAAAGAATAAACTTGCATGGTTTAACTAGATGGTTCAAGCGTGTTTAAATCCTGATTCCAAACCTATTATGATGAGGCGTATGAACTGGATACAGGACGATTGGATATACGGTAACCGACTGGATTCAGCAATAGGGTATATCGGACTGACAACGCCCTCCCACTGTAGTGTATCTGAAAACTAATAAGTCGAAAGCTCAGAAAGAGGACAGCTGAGACAATCTATTCTCACTCAAGCGATGGAGTAGTCCAGTAATTCACCTCCGAAAGCCTAAGTATGGTCGGAGGTAGGTATCTCAGGTTGCGGTTGGTCACCCGTCCCTCGCACATTGCGAAATGCTCCCACACGACCAAGCGCCTCAAACAGCTTTTGATGAGGAAGCCCTAATCACCGCCTTACCGTGGTGGTGTTTTTATAACGAAATGAGAGAACGAAAAGCCAACATTTTGAGCTATAACCGGGCGGGTAAACCACTGGCAGTGCACCTGGGGGAGTTGGCTAAAAACCCTGAGTCCAAACCAACAAAAAGGAGGCGTATGAACCAGGCACACACCTTACTAGTCATGGTAGTGGCCATCGGCTCGATTGGGTATCAAGGTGTATCGGGCACCTTGAACGTCCAATTGGCGTATGATCCGGTGAACTGGACACCAGCCCATAATGGATTGCGGTTCTCGCACACCGTCCCGCTGTTTTGAGGGTTACGCTTTGGTTAACCGAAGGCCTTAGCTGTGAACTCCTTAAGAAAATTCACCAGCTTTGGCCTGGACAACTAGAAATATAATGCCCTTGAGCAAATCATAGACCTCCTCATTATAAAGTCTATTGTACCGTGATTCGTTTGGCACAGCCTGAAATCAGGCTACCTGAACAGACTACCAGTGAAACTAATGGAATTTCATAACGTTCTGGTACTCAATACTTCCCTGAACTGGTTCCCGAGATGGAGGTCGGAACACCCATCCACGTGCAAAGAGAACTAGGAAGGTGAGAAAGGGGTAATCATGTTGCATGTTTCCTTCGTATAGAGCCTGGTGGATGAAAGCTGATGAATAAAAGTCTCGCCATGGAGGTGAGATAAGGCATTGTCTCTTGTCTTCCGCTTTTCAAAAGCGGAAAAGCAGCATCAACGTGTCTGATCTGACTGCAGTAAACTCTTCGGTAGTTGATCTTCCATTTGTATCGAGTGGCATCCAGGGACTCCGCAGTGCTGCTGCCTCTCTGCAAGGCCCTGGTGAGATCACACAGAATATTGTATTCGAGCATGGGCACAGAACCTCGTGTCGGAAAAGAAATGTTCTCGAAGAAGTTCAGAAACGGTGTACCAGGATTTTCCCTGTCCTCAGGACGCTGTCGTACACGAGACGCCTGAGAAAGATGGACTTGTTCTCTCTCACTCAGGAGAATGAGGGGACCTGACTGAGTTGTTCAAGATACCGAATGGACTTTTACAGCCACGCAAGTAACTTTTCTACTTCAGTGACGGTGAAAATTGAAAGCTCAAGATTTACGCTTGTAAATTGATGCGTAGTAACCCTGCCAGCACAAGGTTTTCCGTCCCATTAGAGTCCCTTTGGAACGATAGAACTTTTTGTCGTCCCTTTAGAGTCCCGAGGGGAAAATAGCTTGATCCATCGTCCCATTAGAGTCCTTTTAGTGTCCCGGCGACACTCTGATTCTCAGTCCCGTTAGAGTCCTATTAGAGTCCTGGCGGACTGTTTCGAAAACTGTATATCCAATTATATTCAAGAAATAAGACTGTTTTCTTTCTTATAATTGCTGGATAGATGTGCGTAATAAAATTTATTTACCATAATAAGTATACCAAAACTTCTTGAAGTTAAATATAAAAATATAAATTAATAATATGTAATAAGAACAAAACGAGGATAAAGATTCGAAAAAAGTTAGCTTAAGGGTCGTTCTCGGGTTTCTATTAGTAACGGGTAATAAGATACACTATCAAAAAGTTTATTTGAGCGTCCCCTGAGTACCAAAATTCTCGCATCGGGTCTCTCAGCGGTATTCTCAGGGGCCTCTGGGAGGACAATTAGGTGTCACTCAGCGGTATAGTCGTGTTGCTTGGGCTTGATCCACCGAATTGGCTAATGCATCGTCGCTCAGCCCGTCCTAGGTGCTAAACGCGCGTTCTCACATGACGAAGGGTGTTGGTTAACCAACAAATAATTACTTTGAGTTTCAATTATTTTAAAACTCCCCACAATGCGCCCGGATTTTTCTGTATTTTATTGCGGGAAATTCTGGGAAGCATGCGCTAATACAGAATATGGTAATTCCTTGAGGCAATATACTGCCTCAAATTATTATAATCACCATGAAGATTATACGTGAAATGCACTTCACTATTATCAAGAAATAACAAAGGGAGACTTCCCAAATAGAACATTTCATAAGGAAGGTAATAATTGAGATGGACACAAGTTTTTGAAAGTTATGATAGATGGTTCAAAGTCAGCGTTACCAGAATGATTTGTCTTACTGAGATCAAGTAGAAATTGTAACGTGGAGGACTTAACCCGCCGCTGCCGCCGATTCGTAGTACACGGCGGGAAGTTGAATTCGGGCAACACAATCCGAGTTCGTGGTGCCAATAGCGCTGTCAGAATACCACTGGCAAAACCCTGTTTGGAATGTCGAATACACTGGTAAACGCGGCCCAGTACAGACGTTCACAACGTACGGGTAGGAGTCACTTAAGTGACCCTGTCGTCCGAATTCGGACGATA